TTTCCATCGCACACACCACCACGTACGAGCACGCACATTTAAGTTTTCTATTTTGGCCCTTTTTTTTCATCACGGGACCCTTCTTTTGTCTTTTCATGCACCAAATCATTCAAGATATACCCCTCCGCAACCCTATTGCCCCACCCTCATAAATTCTTAAATTACTGAAACGCCCCTAGTCTTCTTTCGTGGTTTCACCTTGCTCGATCACGTTCACAGCCACCTCTATTAAGTGCCAACCTTTTTTGGCAGCACCATCCATCAGTTTTCTCATCTGGGCAATTCGTGACTTCAGTGTTGAAATCCATAATTAGCCCTTTAGTCGATGCCGACTTGGTTTGCCTTTCTCCTCTGTTTTTTTCCCTTTGCATATGCCTAAGTGCTTCAATGAATTTCGAAGAAATTACAGTCCAAGGTGAAGTAAGAATGGTTTATATACTATACTTTAAATGTTTTTAATTCTTCACTCCAAATTTTCCAATATTAACCATGCCATTTGTTATGTAAAATAGTTTTTTTTAACTAAATTAACCTTAATAATTTGAGTGTAGTCCAATTTAATAAATATTTATAGATGAGATACCAATAAATTAGAAATGACAATGGATAGGATCTCGATAAGATTCTATAGTACCTGTTCGTATATTTACGTATAAAAATAATACCGTATTTAATCTCATACCCATGTAGATAATAATTTTATGTGTACTTATACTTGCACTTGACTAAAATAAATAAATTAATAAAAAAATAATATTTCACACAAATAAGCATAATATTAATTTATTAGATTTTTAACATTACAAAAATCTAACATAACAATTCTTATAAATAAATATTATAAAAAATTTGATTTTTGTAAATATACACTTAAAAAAATTCAATAGAATAAAAATTGTAATTAAACTTTCAATATTATAATTATCTGTTAACAATATTTTTCAAGACTTGTGAAAAAATTATACAGAAATTAGTTATATTAAAATTATAGATTAAATTATATATTATAAATTAAAAAAAACAAATATAATTTAATTAAATTAATAAATAAATGATTATTAAGATTATAAATGGGTATTTACTTGCCTCTCATGCAAGTTTCGGATATCCATAAGATCCGAGTCTATTTTGTGATCCTACAATAAATAAAGATATTATTAGAAAAACTAATTAATGCTTTATTGATTGTTAAAATAATACATATTTCCAAATAAACCAAAACTCTCAAGTGATTGGTGAAGTAATTTGAAATAAAGACAACATTTTAACACCAAGTCAGTGACTATATAATTAACACTATCTTTTTCACATCTTTTAATACAATTTTTATTATATGAGGAATTTATTTATTTTAAGAAAAAGTTTTGATAGACTTATTTTATTTAGTAATTTATGTTCTATATCAAATTTTAATGCTCTAATTATTGAATTAAAAGTTCTTAATGTGTAAATCAAATTTATAAATTTTTAAAAAAATTAAAAATTATGATATTTCGTTTCATTAGTTCAAATTGACAGATAATCATAAAAAGATTTTATACATTGATTTGAATCTATATAACGAAATATTATGTAACTTTCATTTTTCTTTTAAATTTGTAAATTTAATTTATACATTAAGAAATTTTAATTTAACAATTGATTCGTTAAAGTTTTATGTCGAATACGAGTTATTGAATCTACCAAAAAAATTTATTTTTCAAGTAAATATATTATTGGTAATCGATTTTTACTAGCTAACAATCATGACATGCGAGGATCATTTAAAAGAGAGTTTAGACTCAAAGGAATTCATGTGTTTTTATTTATTTATTCTTTTATTTTTATATATAACAAAGTTAATAACAAAACAAAAATATATTTAAAAAAACTGTTAAAAAGATATGTTACTAATCTTTGTCCCGGTGTCAATTATAACTCCATAATGTTTGAACAAGGTATTTTATGAACTCTTATATATATAGGCTTCTGTATCTTCTTATCCTAGTGCTAGATCAAATATGTTGCTCTTTTTATTAGATATACTTTTGGACTGTATATGTACCATTAGATGAGGCTTCAGCTAGACACAAATCAGAAAGGAGAGGAACTAGTCTCTGTTCTCTTGGTATAGGCTGTAGCCGACCTCCAATGTATATCTCCAATTTCTAGCAGGAATTCTTGATTGCTACGAAGAGTCTATTATTCAAGCATCACTTATGACTGCCATGATTATTGTTCAATCAACTTTTTGGTCAAACCTACATAAAAGCACAAAAAGGAAAACCTAAGGTAAAAAGGGCCTCGAAGCTTCAACTCGTAAGCTATTTATTATTCAATTTGTTATAATAATTTAAGGTTTAATTACTCTTTGCATCCTATAGTTTTACTAGAACAAGATCATTTAAATACGATAATAATAAAATTGACAAATAACCAAAATAAGCAATAACACTAATGAATAAAATAGGCAAGATAATCAAACATAACATACAAATCACCTACTCTAATGCTTTTATCTAATCCAACCACTATAAAAATATCAATTATTAACAAATAAAAAATGTCAAGCGTTATTAGAATTATTTATATTTATAAAAAGAATTTTAACAGAAAAAATATTTATAATTTAGTATAGAAATTATGAGTATACATTAACAATATGATGCGTTATACTAATACTAGTATTGATATAATGATAGTATTTATCATATTTCTACACCAATGAAATCTATATATTGGACGTAGTATCATATATTATTATACCCACGATTAGGAATGATAATGGGGTTGCAGCTACCTCAAGTCACCCATTTCATTGGATTAAAATCTGTCTCATATTTACACGAGCATAATTTAGTGGATATTTACGAGTTTTATGAATATTTGAGTGCCACGAATATTTCTTAAAATATAAAAAGTAAAAAAACGAAATAACAAACAATTAATTTCAAAAAATATATTTATACTAAAAATGAATATATATATATATATATATATATATATATATATATATATAATCTCTTACTACTAGGTTCATGAATCATTATAGTGGTTCACTCTATGTTAATTGTTAATAAGTGAGTAGAGACAAAAATTATTTATTGTATCTGCAAATACACGTTACACTATCCAAGTTTAATCCGTGTAGGGTTTTATCCGAAAATCCGAAGCTTACGAATTTCTTTCGTCATGTCTCGCTGTACTATGGCAAAAACATCCATTTCTATATGTATTGCTTCACTTAGCTTTTCGATTTCACCCAATGAACTAATTTCACCGAAAAAAAAACTTAGCTTTTCGATCCTCGTCATTTAATGAATTAAAGCTCCTAGCTAGTTAATAATGTGTTTTTGCATTATTAATTATTATTACAATTTTCATTAGAGCTTATTACATTATTATTACGTAGATAAAGGTAGCAAAATGATGTATCGGGCATGATGCAAATAGGCTCAATGATGTGGGTTATGAATATTATAGTGGGTTAGTAAAAAAAGTCAAGATTCAATTTAAGTATCCGATGAAAAGTCACTTTTTTTTCGGATTTTAAGGGCTAGCTAACTCATCATATCATGATTAGATTAAGTTAAAAGGATCTGCATTTGATTTGCATTTAAATTTTTAAACTTAAATCCTACATTTTATAGAGTGGGTTCAATGGAAGCAGCTAGCCTAAACTCATTTTCTCAGCTTTGCCTAAGAAAGGATGTAAAGAGAATAATGTATAAATAGCATTATTGAAAAAGAAAAATATATTCCTGTTGATATTGATGGATGGATGGATAGATAAAAAAAAAAAATAAATAAAAAAAAAGAAGGAGAAAGTAGCCATATGATGAATAATTAAAAACCGGCCTTAGCCATGCCATAAATACTAGATGACGTATCACTTGGAAATTATGGCTATAACTTGCTATAGCTCATTGCTGTAGTGTGTCAATGGGTTCAAAATTCTTCAACCAAAGTAAATAATACAAAAAGACAATTGAATCCCTGGCTAGTCTTATCGATCTTTCCATCAATATATTTCATAAAATATCCACTAGGTCAAGGAGAAAAATTGTTTAATATCGTTACAACAAGTAATTAGATATTTTTATTTTTAACAAAGATTGAATCTCAATTTTTAATTCTTTTTTATATATAAAATTACAATAATGACAATAAGATTGAAAATTAATATTTTATGCATACTACTTAAACTTTTAATTAATACTCGACTCTAATTATCCATTTAATTTAAACATGAAGTGTCATGTTTAAAGATATAATTTTGCTCTTAAAATAGATTGATTCGATAAAAAGAAATTATCCGAGGTGTAGATGATACAAGTAATATTTATTCTTTAATCGAATTATTCATGATTCAAATTCTTACTTTCATATGGAATAAATTATGTTGGACTAAAAAAGGAAAACTTAATACCCACTTTATATGTATTCACAATTTTTAACAGAGAATTGTTATTATTAGTTTTAACGGTAGATATTTTATACTTAAAGTTATCAAAATTGAGTCAGGCCATCGAGTTGATTTGATGTCCTATCAAGTAAGACTAAATTTTATTTTTAGGCTCGAAAAGAATCGAGCCTATTTGGTTAAATGATTTTTATTTATATTTTTTAAAATTACATGTAAAATTATTTAAAATAAATAGTGATCTAATTTGGCTTGATTGAATAGATTAACGAGCTCCGTTGAATTAAAAATATATAATGTGTAAATGTCCGACTAGATTAAATTGACCTATTTTTCATGCATATGGTACGATAAATTAGGTTGGACAGAACCAAACTAACAAATTTGATAGTTCTATATATTCATACTAATATCATGGTTATCTTAAATAGAAAATAATTATAATAACTAAATATTAAAATAAAAATAAAATAATGAACTACTATATAGAGAAATCAGTTGGTAGGAAAGGGTAGTCTTGTAATGATATAGTCCACACACATGTACGTTACTGTTAATTTAGTTTAGTTTATTATCCCATTTATGCCGCTGACCTTTCTTCCTTGCCCATCTCTTCATTTATAATTAAGTCCATGTCCCTCTCTCGTTCTCTATCTCTCTATCTCTCTCCATAGTTTTCTTCTCTTCCTTTGAGCTATATAAATAAGAGGAAAAACTACTACTGTCTTTAGTGTTTCCACTTGGAAAATGGGACGATCACCATGCTGCGATAAGATAGGCTTAAAGAAAGGACCATGGACTCCCGAGGAAGATCAGAAGCTCTTAGCTTATATCGAAGAACATGGCCATGGAAGTTGGCGTGCCTTGCCAGCAAAAGCTGGTACTTCTCTTTATTTTTAGTAGAGAAACTTTCAAAAACACTTGTGAAAGTGTATTCAAATATGTTGATATTGTTGTACATATGTAGTGAATGATATTGTAAGTACACATGGATGCAACGTATTGCAATGTAGTTCAGTGTTGTAAAATGAATCTTCTTGTGCTATTGTGTATATATAGGGCTTCAGAGGTGTGGCAAGAGTTGCAGACTAAGATGGACCAATTATCTTAGGCCTGATATTAAGAGGGGAAAGTTCAGTCTGCAAGAAGAGCAAACCATCATTCAACTCCATGCCCTCTTAGGAAACAGGTTTGGTATCTTTTTCTTTGTTGAGTATTAGGATATATGCTTTTTTTTTTCTTACACTTCTGCATCAACTTTTTTTTGCCTCTAGCTTGTCATTTGCTTAGTCTTAAATTAATTGATTTATTTCTCAGTTTTTTTTTTCCTTTGAGCAAGGTACCTACCATACATACACATTCAAAACTCAAGACCTATTACAGATTTTTTTTTTGAAAATGTGAAAGTGATATATATCTCTCTCCTTCCACAAATATTGTCCAAAATTTTGGAAATTTATTGCAAAAATATAAAATGAAAATAATTATAATTATGTCACTGTATTTTGTACCTCAACTTGATATTTTATTCCCATTCTCACTCTACACTAACTATGAATCATCCATTTTCCGTGTTGGAGCTATAACTTCTTTCTGCTCCTGTGGTCTTGCCGTGGCAGAATGTCTTAAATGCAATGACCTCTCAATTTCTTCACCCAACTATTCCAACCCTTCCACAACAAATAATTTGAGAAACTCTGCTCTGTGCCGTTTCCAAAAATTTTCTCCCTGACATATACAAGTTTATTCGAGGTGAATCTTAATTGCAAAATGATATATCTTCTGCCACAACCAAAAGAAAGAAATTAAACCAATGCCATATATGCATGCATATATGATTATCCAATATCATGCATACATACACAGATACACAATTCTCATTCTCTCTCATAAATTAAGTCTCATATTTTTTACATTTTAATATTAAACTAATAGTTAAAACAAATATGTTTTAGTAGTTGATGGATTACTCTAGGGTTTATCATTAGCTTTTTGTGGCGTGTCTGTACTATGGTTGTGTTGTCTGTGTACTCAGGTGGTCGGCAATAGCCACACACCTGCCAAAGAGAACGGATAATGAGATCAAGAACTATTGGAACACGCATCTTAAAAAAAGGTTAACCAAAATGGGAATTGACCCTGTGACGCACAAGCCAAAAAATGATGCCCTTCTCTCTAGTGACGGTCAATCCAAAACCGCTGCAAATCTCAGCCACATGGCTCAGTGGGAGAGTGCTCGCCTTGAAGCTGAAGCAAGACTAGTGAGAGAATCAAAGCTACGTTCACATTCACTGAAACACCAACAACTTGGAAGTTCTTCTACATTTGCATCTTCATCATCAGCATCAACCTCAGCTAACAATAAACCAGAAGCACCACCGCCACCGCCGCCGCCACCACCGTCATCGTCGCATTTGCCTTCACGATCTTCCCTTGATGTTCTCAAGGCTTGGAATAATGGAGGGTGGTTAAAATCCAATGAAGGAAATGGTGGCATTGCAAGCACAGTTGGGGTAAGTGGTGACCTTGAGTCTCCTACCTCTACACTATCTTTCTCCGAGAATGCACCACCAATTATGAATGCAACTGGAGGAGAAAATAACAACAACAACAATCACAATGATAATGCAATGCCAATGATTGAGTTTGTGGGTAGTTCAGGTAATTCTTCATCTCTTGTGAAAGAAGAAGGTGAACAAGAGTGGAAAGGTTATGATAGTTCCATCACTACTTTTAGTTCTGGCCTGCATGAGTTCACAATGTCCATGGAAGGCACGTGGGCCTCTGAGTCTCTTAGGGCTAGTGGTTCACATGATGATGCCATTGTTGAAGAAGGGTTCACCAATCTTCTGCTAAAGACAAACTCCGACGACCTAAGTTTGTCGTCAGAGGGTGGAGGAGAGTCTAACAACGGCGACGGTGATGGTGGTAGTAACAGTGAATTTTATGAAGATAACAATAATTATTGGAATAGCATTCTCAATTTAGTGAATTCTTCCCCTTCTCATTCCCCTATGTTCTAATGTTAGATGGGAAATGGATCATCTCAAATTGAGTTTTTACTTAACTTTGTTACGTGAAGATTTTGTGTTTATCTCTCTCTTAGTAAATGTTCACAAAATTCTTATAAGGCTAAACTTATTAGATGCCTAAGAAGAAAGAGATAAACGCAGTTTCATGTGACAAGGTGAAGTGAAAATTCAATACAAGAGGATTTATTTGCGTATGGGAAAGTGCATGTCTGAGTCACATATAGGGCAGCATTTTCTTCAAAACTTTTAAACATAAGTCAGAAGTCGATGATGATCATCTTCTCCATCACCATGTGGATTTGATCCATAGAGTGGTTTTTGCTGGTGCTTGAGACTCTTTTATTTTTATTTTTTCTTCCCTTGGAAGTTTGTTATGTAATTCTCTGATATGTTTTTGGGAAACTTCTCACTGGTTGGTCGCTTCCACCATCAAATGTTCATATCAATTTGTTTGGACTTGACACGATTTCTGTTGCTATAGTATTTGGATTTCTCTGAGTGGAGGATACGCTTGGATCGCTAGTCAAACTGATAATAGACAAGTGTGTGTGCGAATTAAATGACTTTTATGCCAAGTAATTAATTTTCGGTGTTCAAACTGTATACAAAAAATTCAATAAAGGAAACATTTAGTATGGACTTTATTGCTGTTGGTTTCATGTCGCATTCTTGCTTTTTTATATGTTTAAATTTTTACAGATTAAATTTCAATGCACCTTATCTTGAAACTAAATTTATACAGTTCTACAAATATCATACTTTCACATTATCACGAATTTATTTCTCTCTATCTCTAAAATTTAAAATTACATATATATATTTGGGTTCTCTCTCTCCTTTCTATTCATTTGCTTGGAAGTCATGTACTTGTGGAACCAAATATGTATATATATATAATTTTGGAACTAAAAACAAATTGTGAGTTTTTGCATTTTCCTTTTTAAAAATACTCCTATAGCTAGTACGATTGTTTAAAAGATAATATTTTATTCTATTTTTAGGGTTAGCTACGGTTACTAACTAGGTATATATTATTGATTTATGAATTATTCAATTAAAATGAAAAGAGATTCTAACATATATCAATGAGAATTTAATTCACGAATCAAAGCACAATAAAATTTAACATTTTAAATTTCACCCGTACAAAAGTACTTTTTTACACTAGTTAAATTTTTAAGCGAAAAAAAAAAAAAAAAAAAAAAAAAAACTTTTTTTTCATCGCTTAAAAATTTAACTAATGTAACCAAGCTTTTAAAAAGTCATCTCCCAACAACAAATCTTATTGCTGCCTCTATGAACTCTTCACCGAAACCCTTCCTGCTGGTCCTCCTTTGTTTGACAAACAACCTCTTTAGTCCTCCCTAGTCTTGCTTGCCACCACGCGATTGGGATGCACCCACCATCACAACGAACCAAGTACACTATTTTCAACCAACTATTCTTTTTTCTTATTTCTTCTCGTATTTGCACTTATTCTATTCATTATTGTTGGGGAACTTCGCTTTGAAAGTCTCATAAGTTTCGTATGTTACAGAAAAGTGTGTTAAAAATGTTGAGTAACACCTATTGCGCATAAAATGATCTTAAGAAAAAGTACCTTATCTCAGTAGTAATAATATACGGTCTTTTACCAGTTTGAGAAAATAACACATTAATTATCGGTAAAAATGTAAAAATAAATTACAAGAATATAATTAAATAGCAAAACTAAGTTGATTGATTTTTAGAGACTTAGAACCCTTGAATTGTGACTTTAATTGACCCTAAATTCTCCAAATTAATATTTATGAATCCCAAATAATTATATGTTTTCTTCAAGTAGTTAATCATGTTGTTCATAGGAATTAACCGTCTTCCCTAATTTTAAATTATCAATTGATCTTAATTTAATTCATAATTAGAGAAGTATAAGCATAGATTAAATAGTTAAACAATAAGAGGAATTTAGAATTAATTTGATCGTGCAAGCTCTTAATTCCAATTGTTTTATAGATCTATTAATTTTTACTTATTGATCCTTCTCAAATATTAACCAAGATGCGCACTCAAAATTAATCAATTATCATGGAGAGACAAAATAATAAAATAATTTAATTATAGAAAGAACTCGTCATATTTAATCGAGGATCAAAAGAGAAAAATTACATTACAATCCTAGTAGTGAGACTTAGTTAGACATGACAGATAAAATCCTAATATTTGACTAAAACTCATGAAAAAATAGAAGAGAGAAATTGTAATTAGAGAATTTTCTTTTGTAGAGTGCTCTTAGTCTCTAATAGATCCTCGAAAAACAATGACACAAACTATGGGAAAGAAAAGCTAAAGTAAAAAACATATAAAATGTATTACTAATCTGTCCAATTTAAGAGAAAATTAGGGTGATCCATCAAGCATGGCTATGCATCTTAAGTAGCATGGTCGTGTATCTTCAATACATGGGTCTGCTTCTTTTGATTTAGGGTGTGCTTCATTTTTGGCACGGTCATGCCATAAGGAAGCATGACCACTTGTTCCATCCCAGGAGTGCTTAGAGTGAAGCACAATCGTGTTTGTTTGCACCAAGCATTCTTAGGATGTGTAACTGAACATGATCATGATTCATGTTAGCATGACTGTGCATAATGTTTCAGCTTCCAATAAACTCATTCTTTTTAGCCTATTTTTGCACCAATTTCTTTCTTTTAACATCTCCTCACCTATTTGTTGCACACTTAACCAAAAAAATAGTAAGTTTTTCCAAAGAATGTGCTCATAAAATAGGACAAAATGATAGTTAATGACATGTTAAAATGTAGCAATTGAGAGTTTAGCAACATCACATGCCCTAGATTTTGGGAACAGAACAATCTTCACCACAATGAGATGCGAAAAATAATGTTGGAATTCTTCACCCTAGATTTAATTTGACACATTGGTCTCATGATTCATTGGTGAGAGAGTTGTTGTGAATACTTGTTTTGGTCTCGATGTTTTTTTCCTCCCTTTTGGTGGTATTAATGAGGTGAATAAATATATATATAGAGAGAGAAACCATCCCATGTGGCTTGTTCCCCTCGCTTAAATGACCCTCGTATTGTCAAATTTGAACTCGATTGATCGAAATATTGACTTAAAGGATGTTTTTGCTATGGTTAGTAATTAATGAAAGCGGCAGCTGTGGCAGAAATTTCTGAAAATTGTGCAGATACATTTTGTATTCTAAAATCGCTTGAAAACCTTCAATTAAGGAGTAGGCTTACTGGTGCTTTTAATTAGAATCTGATTTGCATGATCTTTTTTTAAATATTATCTTTCCTGTTTCCCCACCAAATATATTAAGAACTACACAAATCTTATGCTTAAGTGTTGTGGAGAAATGCTTGCAACAAAAAAAATTATTTTGATAGTTATATATATATTTGTCATTAAAAATTAGTTTTATCAATAATATTGATATAATATATGTTGATACATTGTTAAAAAATAGAAATATAAATTATAATGACATACAATATATTTTGTTAAATTTTATTCAAAATTAATACCAAAATTATGTGTAATTATATGTCAAATAAATTTACACACACACACGCGCGCGCACATACACACACACGCACACACGCACACACGCACACACACACACATATTGTACTTATAATAATACTTTTTTATATGTCATTATATGTAACATACACACACACATATATATTGTACTTATAATAATACTTTTTTATATGTTATTATATGTAACATTTCTTGTAGCTAGTGTTTCTATTGAAGTACTAAGAACATAATAAAGAGAGAAAAAATAACACCACTAAATTGAAATATGCAAAAGAGGAATAATAATAATAATAATATATATATATATATATATATATATATTCTCTAACACACTCTTCTAAACACATTTAATTATTTTTTTTTGTTAGAATTTATTAAGAGAAAAAGTAAAAAAAAAATAAGGTGTGAAACTTTTTTGTACTTTGCAATAAATTTTAACTAATTAGAATAATATATTTAAAAGAGTATGTTAGCGAATGTATTATTAGCATTTTTCTAATATATTAGACTAGCGACTAATTTTGTTTAGTTTTGTAACTCCGCAGCTGACCTGACAAGTTTTCTGGCTAATGGTTCGATGGGAAACTGAATTTGTGCCAAGTTATGGGTCCAACTTAACTCATGACACGTAGGGGCACTATGAGAAAGGACAAAACGTGCATGAACATGCACCTAAAAGAAATCTTCAACTTTCATATCATGTTTGTACGCTACCAACTATATATCATTTTGCATTCCAAAATCTAGACAGTTTTTCTCCATCAACGATGTTCCACTTTCTGTCCTTACATATGCATAGAGATCAACATAGAAGTTTGAGGTAGTATTTGATTGAAAGATGTACACAGTTGAATGTTGGCATTCTCTCTTTTCCCGGTAAATCATGTGTTAAAACTCTCATATTAATTAAGAATAAGGTAATAATAGTATATATAAATGAAGAACAATTCTCATCTTACAAATTAATTTTATTCTCTAACCTATTTTCTTAAGGTGATATTCAATCTTACAAACTTTACTTTCAAGATATTCAATCTTCAATGTAAAAAGATGTGTTAGAGATCTCACACTAACATCGACTATATAAAAATAAGATCATAATATATAGTGTATATACATGAAGAACAATTCTCATCATACAAGTATAAGACTATAATAATGTATATAAATGAAGAATAATTCTTATCTTACAAATCAATTTTATAAGATTAAGATGAATCTTTATATAAGGTTAAAACCCTTATTTAGTCCTTTATAATATTTTTTATTTCAATTTAGTCTCACTTTAATTTTTGGTTTCAATTTGGTCCCCAATAATTTAAATTATTACAATTTGGGACTTCCGTCCAAATGATTTAAACGGAGTTAACTGTTGGCCACGTGGATGTCAGGTGGATGCCACGTAGATGCCACGTAGATGCGTAGGTGGATGTCAAATTTCTTGAATACAACTGGAACCAGAACGGCCCGTTCTGAAACCAGAACGTAACGGTCTGTTCTGGTTGCACTCTTAGTGTGTTAATTTTGTACCTAGAACGGGTCGTTCTGGTTTCAGAATCGGCCGTTCGAGTTTCAGAACGGCCCATTCTCCTGCACTTATGGTGTGTTAAATTTGCATTTGGAACGGCCCATTCCAGTTGCAAAATTAACGCATAACATGTGCAAGCAGAACGGGTCGTTCTGGTTCCAGGTGTATTCATGGAGTTTGACATCCACCTATGCATCTACATAACATCTACCTGACATCCACGTGACCAACAGTTAACTCTGTTTATATCATTTGGACGGAAGTCCCAAATTATAATAATTTAAATTATTGGGGATCAAATTAAAACAAAAAATTAAAGTGAAACTAAATTAAAATAAAAAAAATATTATAAGGAATTAAATGAGAATTTTAACCTTTATATAACTAATTGAGTGAAAGGACATGAAAGTTAATTTTTCAAAATAAAATAACTAACCAGAGATTTGGGAATGCATGTCACTCATGAGTATTGGCCAGAATCACGTTGAAAACTATGATTTATACCATACCAATATTATTGACATGATTTTATTGCCTTAAGTATTTTTTAAATAAAGA